AGTCAATAAGAAAAATTTCAGCACTTAATGGCTATGGATTTAAGGATAAATTTAACTTTGTTTCTTGGGTATTTGCTGCACCTCTTAATGCACAATTAAAGGGAGATACAAGGCTCAAAATTTACCACTTTGAGGTAAGAAAATTTTGCATCAAAAACAAAAAAAAAAAATCCATCATGCAAAAAATAGCCCAAAAAAAGTTTCAAAACAATTTTGAAATCTTTTCTTTAGGAATTCGTCTTCAATACAACTTTTGTTTGATCAATGGAGATATCAAAACGACAATCAAAACATGTTTAAACACAATTAAACAAGAATTAAAACACAAGAACATATGTTGTCTAGAATTTGAAATCAAGAAAAAACAATTTTCAATTTTCAATATTCAAATCAAACCAAATCAACATATAAATCATCTAAGATTATTATCACTAATTACCATGCATGATTTAACTTCAAAATCGTACCAAGACTCTGATACCACTTTTTGATTTTGGATCTTGCTCAAACAGAATTCATGCACAACTAAGCAAAATTTAAATACACAAATTAAACAAACATAATTGAAACCTCCAGAGAGCATTCGGTGACACTATTTAAAGCTAAAATGATTTGTATAATCATCCATATGATTAGTGTCATATTTTAACTCAAAAATATCATAATTTAGAGTTAGAACAACAGTCGATTTGCTTGAATACTAAAAGAATCCTGAGATTTAAAGCCACCTAAGTGTTTAACCTTTAACGGTATCCACACAATTACAAGTTTGAATCTTTCTCCAAGGCATGGGGAACCCTTGTGCTAGCAAGGTGGCCCAAAAGCTTAAATCAAAAGTTTTATCTGTATCTCCAAGGCAGAACGTCAAGAGAAAAACTCTTCCTTATGACCTCTAACATGTGTAGCAAGGAAGGAAGTGAAGGGAAAAACATGACGGCCACCAATTAACTTAGTAGCAATATCTCTATAAACCTCTCTAGAATTATCATAATTCTAAATTTGGCCCAATGAATTTAATTAAACTTCTAAATTAAGTCTTTCACATATTTTGCCCTTATTCAATTAAGTTCTATTTAATTGAATCCTAATTTTTATTCAAAATTGTGATTTAATGTGTGCGATCCATTAGTTTTCCAATATGTTAGCAATGAACATAAATTCAACTCAAATAAGGATAATATATTTGTAAATCATGAGCATCCTCTAGCTAGTAATACATCATGACCACCCAAATGTCAGAGAGTTAAAATAGTCTTGAAATAACCTTTTAGTATTCAATCTATAAGAGCAATTCGATCCTTCCATAGCATATCCCAAAAGGCCATGGGCATGGTAAAGTGTCTATCCATGAAATCCTTTCACGTTAGTTATTATAATTTCTATTCAACATTTATGCATTTAATAGGAAACTATTTCTTTTAAATTCATTTTGCTTGGCTAAAGACTTTATGTGTTGTCTAAACCCAACAATAGATGAGGTATATCCCTTCGTATAACTTAAGGTGATAAATCCTTTATTGACCACTCATCCGCCTTCGTATGCTTCAAACTATACTTAAAAGCTTTTTTGGGCATCAGATGCCTTGATCCATAAAAGTGAAATCAAAGTATGATAATTCATATATACAATGACCTAGTGTCTCAAGTCTAAGGACTAGTTTAATGACTAATATAATAGAGTATTTTATAAACACTTAAGTGAGTTACTTTAACTTTTGAGATCGATTGCTTAAGCATGTACCAGTCTATGAGCATTGTTGATGCCCTATTTCAATAATACAATAACCAAAAACAATTTTAAGAAAATGGCTTTAATGCATAAATATTTCATAATTGTAACTTTTTACAATTCTCTTGCAAAGCCTTTGTGTTTCATGGACTTCATCCGATTAGTACCTTGATAACTTTTCCTTTCATGCTAGTAATGAAAAAAACTTTTGATTACATTAATAAAAAGTGATAATAATGCATTAAAAATAGCATATCTTGTTCTAATATGACTGGCTCTAGATCTTATATTAACATATTTGATACGTGTTTTTGAAATATTACTGTGAAATTATCAAACTAAATTCAAGTTTTATTTGAGTAGAGCTCGAATAACTTATGAGTACTGATATATCATTTATATTCCTAATTTGAAATATAAAAAATTTAAAGATATTATCATCTAACATAATTATCACTAATTACCATACATGATTTAATTTCAAAATCGTACTAAGACTCTGATACCACTTTTTGATTTTGGATCTTGCTCAAATAGAATTCATGCACAACTAAGCAAAATTTAAATAGACAAATTAAACAAACAAAATTAAAACCTCCAAAGATCACTCGATGATACTATTTGTAGCTAAAACAATTTGTATAATCATCCATATGATTAGTATCATACTTTAACTTAAAAATATCATAATTTAGAGCTAGAACAACACTTGATTTGCTTGAATACTAAAAGAATCCTGAGATTTAAAATCATCTAAGTGTTTAACCTCTAACGGTGATCCACATAATTACAAGTTTGAATCTTTCTCCTAGGCATGTGGAACTTTTGTGCTGCAAGGGGGCTCAAGGGCTTAAATTAAAAGCTTTATCTATTTCTCCAAGGTGGAACCTCAAGAGAAGAACTCTTTCCTATGACCTTTAACATGTGTAACAAGGAAAAAAGTGGAAGGAAAAACATGACAACCACCAATTAACCCAGTAGCATTATCTCTGTATGCTTATCTAGAATTATAATAATTCTAAAAGTGGCCTAATGAATTTAATTAAACTCTTCAATTGAGTCCTTCACATATTTTGCCTTTATTCAATTAAGTTCTATTTAATTGAATCCCAATTTTTATCTGGAATTGTGATTTAAGTATGTGATCCATTAGTCTTCCAATATGTTGGCAATGAACATAAATTCAACTAAAATAAGGATAATACATTTATAGATCATGAGCGTTATCTAAGTAGTAATACATCATGACCATTCAAATGCTAGAGAGCTAAGATAGTCTTGACATAACCTTTTAGTATTCAATCTATAAGAGCAATTCGGTCCTTCCATAACATATCTCAAAAGGTCATGGGCATGTACAGTGTCTACCCATGAAATCCTTTCATGTTAGTTATTATAATTTCTGATCAACATTTATGAATTTAATAGGAAACTATGTCTTTTAAATTCATGTTGCTTGGCTGAAGACTTTACGTGTTATTTAAAGCCAATAATAGATGAGGTATATCCCTTTATATCACTTGAGGTGATAAATCGTTTTTTAACCACTCATCCACCTTTACATGCTTCAAACCATACTTAAAAGTAACTTTTTTAGGCATCAAGCTCTTTGACCTGTGAAAGTGAAATCAAAATATGATAATTCATATATACGATGACCTGATGTCTCAAGTCTAAAGACTAGTTTAGTGACTAATATAAGAGAACATTTTCATAAAATACTTAAGTGAGTTACTTCAACCTTTGAGATCGATTGCTTAAATATATACCAGTCTTTGAGCATTTTTTATGCTCTATTTCAATAATACAATGACTAAGAATAGTTTTAAGAAAATGGCTTTAATGTATAAAGATCTTATAATTGTAACTTTTTACAATTCTCTTGCAAAGCCTTTATGTTCCATCGACTTCATCCAATTAGTACCTTGATAACTTTTTCTTTTCATGTTAATAATGAAAAAAACTTTTTATCACATTAAAAAAGTGATAATAATGCATTAAAAATAGCATATCTTAATCTAATATGACTGGCTCTAGATCATTTATTAACATATTTGATACGCATTTTTGAAATATTATTATGAAATGAACAAGATGAATTCAAATTTTATTCGAGTAGAGTCCGAATAGCTTACGATTATTGATATATCATTTATATCCCTAATTTAAAATATAAAAAATTCAAAGATATTATCATTTTGGTCCCTAAAATTTGAATAAAATTCTATCTTAGTCTTTGTGTTTACCATGTGAGCTGCCAGTTGTTGCCATCCATGTGGCGTTAGTTGGTATTTACTATCAATTTAAATAATTTTATACAGAAAAGGACCAAAATAAGATAATTTTGACAAATTAGAAACCAAGATAGAATTTTACTCAAAATTTAAAAACTATGGATTGTATTAACCTTAATTCTGTCAATTTATATATTTAAAATATGATGAAAACCTTTGGAAAATTTGATAAAAAAAATCTATAAAAGAATTAGAAAGATCAAGAGAAACTTGAATTTAGAATTGATATTATATTTGCAAATATTTTTAAATTAAATTAATAAATTTTAATTTTTATTACAATAAAAATTTATTAATTTATACTTTTAAAAATAAAAAATATGGATACTTCCAATGACGAAACGAAGAAGAATTTACTAGTTCAAATGACAATCAACATTATTGAGAACGGATAATATAAACCACAATAATATTATCATTTTGAAAATATTTTCGAATTAAAATGAACCATTCCGCTTTAAATGTTAGGATGTGAGGTCTAAAGATGTAAACAATATGAGTTTGATTTAAATAAAACTTGAATTTAATTTAATTATTGTTGAATCGAATTTGAATTTGAGTAATTTGATTTATCAAGAGAATGTGATTCAAGCATTTTAATACTTAACATAAGTAGTTTACAAACTTAATTAAAGTTTTATATTTTAATATATTTTTTATTATTTTTAATTAAAAAATTATAATTTTAATCATATATTATTAATTCGAGTTTAAATTCGAATACAAATAATTAAATTTAAATTTAATCTAAAAATTGAGCTTGGATTTTATTTTATAAATAAATTTAATCAAATGAACTTAAATAATTTAATTTTTATATTAAATCAAGTTTAAATTAAAAAAATAAAATTTAACCAAACTAAAATTAAATTTTAAATCAAATTTAAATTCGAATTCGTCGTTATGCCATCTCAATTTAAGTCGGTTATGTCTAAGATACTTTTCTTAAACATATTCTGAAACAGTTTGGGCTGAAGGATTTTAAATATATATTTTATTCCATGCGATTTCGATTCTGGTCTCAACTTTTTATCTTCTCTTTAAAAAAAAAAAATTTGCCAAAAGAACTTTAACACGTGTTGTATGAGGAGTGAGGAGATGTGGTTAACATTCCTTGATGAGTGGTCAATCACTTATCATCTTCACCATCACGAAAATCTCTCCACTTCAGTTTTGCTAACTCATATTTCCTTGTCTTTTTCTTTGACTTAAATTATTCAATTTAATTTTTTTTTTTTTTTATTTGCTTCCCGTCATTTGTATACACTTCTGTTTTTATTTTTTTATTTTTTATTTATTTTTTAAAAGCAAGATGCTTTGAAATGTACAAGCTTTTTATGATGTCATCTTTTTTATGGTAATTCTAGAAACCAAGAATAATAAAAACCAAGAATAATAAAAAAAAATCCATTTTGTATTCTATTATTCTCATTTACTATTAAAGTAAAGAAATGGGTATTTAAAAAGAAAAATTTTTGTTGGGTGACAGGGTTTTGTTCTTAAGTTTAGAAGAGAAAAAAGCTAAGTAATGGCTAAGGCAGTGAGGCTAAAAGGGGTGGATGAAGAGTTACAGAAGATTTTGGATGCTAATATGGATGAAGCACCAGCTAGAAGGAGAGCCTGGGAAGCCTTCAAGAATATTCAGCTTGGAATTGATCATATTTTGTTCAAGGTCATTGCTTTTCAACTTCATTCTTCTAATTTATATCTAAAATTTTGTTCTTTTGGCTTGTAAAATTATGTATTGAGTTGAAGTATTAGTTCTTTCTCAATGACTCTGTGTTGGGTTTATTTCAATTTGGTTTTCTTGATGTTTGGTTGAGTTGATATATAGTTAGAGAAGGAATGGTTGGATTAAAAGGAAAATTGGGTTATAATTAGAATTTAGAATTAGTAGACAACTTCTCGATATCAAACTTCAGTAGAGAATTGCCTTTTGTTTTTGTTTGATATTTAAAGTGGATAAGTTGTAAGTTGAGTGTTTGTTGGCTTTATTTCATTTTATTTTCTGGTTGCTTTTTAGTTATGATTAGAAAGATTTGGTTGAGTTGATACATTTGTCAATGTTAGAATTCATTTTGCATAATCACTTTCTTTCTGGTTTGATATGCCTAATAGTTTAGTTTAAAATTTTGAGTGGTTGTTAGGTGAATATTGATTGGTCTAATTTTTTATTTTTTCATGTCTTGCAGACACCTACAGATGGACTGAAGATGCAGGAGGTAAAAGCACTAGACTTGCACTTCTCTTCTTCTCTACCTCTTTGGTATTTGGTAGGCTTTTGTTCACCACATCTCCTCTTTCTTTCTTTCTACTAGCAAGTTTCATTTTAAATGTATAAGAGATTCTCGATTCAAATGAAGGAGTTCTTGTGAACAAATCATGCTATTGTTTTAGCTGTTCTCTTATGTTATATCAAATGAAAAGTCACCAGATTAACCACAAAAAAGAATAACCTTTGGCCACTGGAATGTTTTTATCGTTTTCTCATTTTGAGAGAGAACTTCCCCACTGTAAATATGTCTATGATGTTTCTTATTCAGTTACCTTTAATTTACCTTCTTGGACGCAATTGATGGAGTTCATACCTAAGTTGTTGTCTACTGTGCCAACTAAAATTTTAATTGCCTCATGTTTGATTCATTGCAGTGGCTATAGTCTTCTTTATAATCACTTCATATTTTGAAATTTTATGGTACAGTCATATGAGGTCAATTCTAGGGGACTGCAAATTTTCTCAAAAAGGTGGCTTCCAGATACCTCCTGCCCCAAGGCAATGGTGTTTGTTTGTCATGGTTATGGAGACACTTGCACATTTTTTATTGAAGGCATGTGGTTCATAACTAGTAACTAATGACTTTTTTTGAAGTTTTGGTTATGTTGTCCTAGGACCTAACTATCTTTGACATTGTTAGCAGGAATTGCAAGGAAATTGGCATCATGGGGATATGGAGTTTTTGCAATGGATTACCCGGGATTTGGTCTGTCAGAAGGTCTTCATTGTTATATTCCCAGCTTTGACACGCTTGTGGATGATGTGATTGAGCAATACTCCAAAGTCAAAGGTATGGGTTCCCCCCAAGCCCTAATGAAATTATTTTTGAATCTTTTTGGAGAATTTCTCTGGTCCTGGCAAAATTTTGTCTCAGATAGCTTCAGGTTTCCCTAGATAGAATAATTCACCGATATCCTTATTCAGTGAAGTAGGCAAAGTAAATTGATATACGATTTTAGTTTAGTACATAGTGGAATTTTTTGTGTATTAGTGCTTGGCAATTTATCATCCTTTATGATTTTGTTGTATGTTGACATCAATACTTGAGTGTCACAAATAATCTAATAATAATCGTTACTCCTAGCCTAGGAAAAATATGAAATTATGCTTTGCATATGGTTCCTCGATTAAAAATTATGTCTAAAAGATTTGCATTGACCTTCTGAATATGCAAATGTTGCACTTCAGTTGCATATAATTGACTAAAGCTGACTGCAATGCATCAAAGTCATTTATTAGCACCCCTAGTGATAAAATGACCTGGTGAATTTTAGGAAAAACCATCACAAATGATTTTGTTGAAACTCCTGGATTCAGCACTTCGAGGGGAACAGTTTGATATAAAATGAATATGCAGGGAGAAAAACCATTGATTGCAGTTTCAATATCCAGCGCCAGGGATGTCTCAAGACAGAGCCCCTTAGTTTAGCTAAATAGGAAAAACAAACTTCTTAATGGGAAGAAAAAAGATAAAAAATTGAAAAGAAGGTTAAATATTTGATCTTCCACTCGTGCTTTGTTCGGTGGATTTGGAAGTGAATTAATTTCTAAGATTGTTAGAACTTTCATCCTTTCTCACATTTTCCTCTTTGTAGTCTATATAGTTTGCTTGATGACAATTTTTATATTCAGGTGAAAATTGTACTCTATCATATCAAGTAGAAGAAAATTGCGTTTTCACCTTTCTTTTCCAGTCTTTTCCTTTCCATCCTCTCACTTCTCTTTAATCGTGCACGCAAGAAGGCACTTGAATCTTTTCTGAAAAAAGAAAAAGAAAAAAAGAGGTCAGGGAGCTTGTAACTAAGCTGGTAGAGAGATCGATGTGAACCATTATCTGTCCTCCTTTCTACTCCATCAAGTGGAAGAAAATTACACTTTTACCTTCCTTTGCCAATCTTCCTCTTTCCTTACTTCTCTCTAATTGTGCAAAAAATGCCGCTTGAATCTTTTCTCAGAAAATAGGGGTTGTATCTTTTAATTGTTTCTTCTCAAATGTATCAACTAAAACAGTGGACGGTAGAAAGAAGGAATTGAAGATGGAGTGATTTTGAATTGGAATATTGTTATTTTATCTTTGTAAACATCCTTGTTTTTATCATTATTGTCAGCAGTGAAGTAACAGATGAATTGGAATGATTCATTTTCTTTTAGTCTCTTGTTGTTGACTCATAAATATGCATTGCTCCGAGAAGAAGCTAAAATTATTCTATTTTCTCTAGCAACTTACTTCTTTTTTCTTTATAAACAATGATGATGTTTGATTTACTTAATGTACTTTAGTCTTGTCATACTTTTATTTGAAGGAAAACTTTCTTCCTACCTTCAAAGTCTTTGCTATCTTCATTATTAAGTGTATAAGAAAAAGTGCCAGTGGCCTTGATTACCGGATTGTTCTGGATGTTTACATTTGTTGGATTTCAATGGCAGAGAATCCTGATTTTCAGACTCTTCCTAGCTTCCTCTTTGGGGAGTCCATGGGTGGAGCTGTAGCTCTGAAGATGCACCTAAAACAACCTAATGCTTGGAGTGGTGCCTGTCTTGTTGCTCCTATGTGCAAAGTATATTTCTTAGCTGGAACATTTTAAGCACTTTAAATACATCTTTTCAGCTCTATTAATTGGAATACTTTGTATAGATTGGAGATGACTTGGTTCCACCCTGGATAGTAAAGCAAATTCTGATTGGTGTGGCTAATATTCTTCCGAAGCAGAAGTTAGTTCCACAAAAGGATTTGGCAGAGGCAGCATTTTCAGACATTAAGAAGAGAGAACTGGTTTGTTTCTATGGATCATTTGAACGATTTGAAGTATAGTTAATGTTTATTGTAAATATAATGGATGTCGTTTAGGATGCTTAAGCGCATAACTGTGGCATTTTTATGCAGTTAGTTATTTCTTTGACATAATCTTTCATCTTCTATGTGTTCACGATATTTGTTTGAAGAAATAGCCAAAACTTCTATTATAGATATTGACTTTTCAGTTTGTTTGCAATGCAGACAGCCTATAATGTTATTGCTTACAAGGACAAGCCACGCTTGCGGACTGCTCTGGAGTTGTTGAGAACCACTGACGAGATAGAACAAAATTTGGAGAAGGTCCTATTTCCTTATCCCTCTCTCTCTAATAAATTTTTATTTGCTTTTTCAAAATGAAATTTGAACCTTTATTTCGGGCTTTAGCTTGTTACTCTTCTACTTTGTACTTTGAGAAATATGCATCTGTTTGGCTGTGTACTTGCATGTATATTTCTCCAGAGCTATATTTTGTATGATGTTCAATAGGAACCAACCCATGCTTTGCCATAGTGTCTTCAAGAATCCCCAACTCAGTTTCCTTAAAGTCCGGTTTGGCAGATGTTGTTAAATCCCAACAAGTGCTCCATAGACCCATGCAAGAATCTTTTAGCTTGAGTCTTGAGTTGCAGATCCAAATGACTGAATTTTTGCATCTACACTTAGGAAGATGAGTTATGTATGTTGGGTAGGGTATGATACGGGAAGAGTCTCAATTACCACACTATTATCATACCACTGGCATTCCAGGAGTGCCAACATATAATACGGCTTAGTTCTTTCCTTGGTGTTATCAGATCCTGTACTGCACACATATTATTCAGAGATGATGTTATTTGGCATTTTGTTTTCGGATATTAGCTCTTTGGTATTCTTGTCCCGGAGACCCCCAGACACCTCCAGTTCAACTAAAAGTCCAAGATCTTATTTTGTCATCGACTTGGAATATTTGTTAGTCTGAAACTTGTAACTGATGACTATAATTGTCATGATTTCAGGTTTCACTTCCAATATTAATCTTGCATGGGGAGAATGATGTTGTGACAGACCCATCTGTCAGCAAAGCCTTGTATGAGAAAGCGAGCAGCTCGGACAAGCAGATTATTATTTATAAGGATGCAGGTCATTCTCTTCTTGAAGGTGAACCAGATGATATGATTCTTAGAGTTTTTAGTGATATAATTTCTTGGCTTGATGAACATAGCAATAATACTTCATGCTAACCACATTTCTGTGTTTCATTTCCTACTTTTTTCTTGTACCAAAGAATTCAACAAATAGAATAAAGATATGAGATTTTTGTTAATGAGGAATAAGGATCCATTGCTGTAGTTCTGTAGATTGGAATATTTGTCCAAAATTCAGGAAATTAAATTGATTTAAGAGATACTTTCTTGTTTACAAACCTGATTTACATATTTTATTTGAAGCTGTCACGATTTAAATTCTGATCACTTAAACTAAGAGTTTCACACAAATATCTTTTGCCAAAATGAAAGAACTTCCTCTCTATAAGTTTCATGGGATTAGTTCTTTAGGCTTGTCTTCTTTAGAATTTGTCAATAAATTTCATATTAAGCTTGAAACTATTAGTTATATATAAATGGCTACAATAATTTGGTTGAATCACACAATTTTCATACAACTTTAATTTTACATCTCATATCCGGTTATCTTAACAATTGTTGAATTGTTATATACTGCATCATAGGGGTAAAAAATCAAATTGATGCGAAACCATAGTTTCTGAAATTTTTTTTATTCGATTCAATGTAAGTTTGGATATTTTATATTTTAATTCGATTTAATTTAATTTTTAGATAAAAAATGAAAAACTGAAATATCCTAACCTAATCAAATTATATGTTTTTATGAGTTTTTATATATTTATATTTAAATTATTATCAAATAAAAATAATTATTTCATATTTAAATATATTTAAAATAATAATAAAACAACAATTAATTTTAAAAACTCAATGAATTTAATTAAACTAAACCAATAAATTTGATTTGGATCAATTTAATTTTTTAAAAAGTTCAAATTCAGGTTAAATTTTAAAATTTTATAATATTATATATTAATTAAAATAATCGAATTGAATTGAATTTGATTCGAATTATTATCATTTTTACTACAACAAATAAATTATAAACTTAAATAAGGCAGATGGTGAGGTTAAGAGCAATTTGCATGATCTCTATATTTCATATGCATCTCTTTATTTCCTATGCAAAGTTACGAAGATCATTGGCTGTTGAACCCTGAAAATTAGATACTATTTAAGATTTTATTTGAAGAGAGTGTAAATCGATTATGAATAGAAATATAAAATGAGTGTTATATTTGGGCCAACAAAAATTGAAATATTTGATGATAATAATTTCAAACGTTGGAAACAAAAATGTTATTTACTTAAATCAATTAAAAGTTGTTTGTCTTAAATGAATCCTGGCTATGTGAAGAATAAAATGAGTTTGTCACATCTGAAAGTGATAAAATTTGGGACGAGGTTAATTATTCGGTGGCGGATTTAGTCTTTTTTTTTTAGAATTTATTTATAATATATATAAAAAAATCATCCACAGATTTATAAATTTATTAATGGAAAGCATGTAACGGAAAAAATTTATAAACATGTCTAGTGCAGAGCAGCTGTTATACGAATCATAAAAGTTTTCGGTTATTCCAAATTTATAATTATATTTTTAAAAGTTAAATACTTATTATAAAAATCATTAATCCATTTCATTGAAATAAATATTCATCAAAACTTTCATTCATTTCAAGTTGTACCAGAAATTTACAATAAAAATGATTATTTGTAATAGTTAATAATGTGAGAAAAAAAAAATTTCATTCATGATAATACTAATATTTGTTGTAATATGCATTTTAAAGGAATTTAAAATAATGATGAATGTCTTTTACATAACTTTTTTTTGTCCAAAAATAAATGAACTTAATAATCTATTTAAATGTGATTGTCTAATATCAATTAAAGACTTGATAATTTCAAACATAATATAATGATATAACACGAAAACGATAAAAAAAATCATATATATTGCAAAAAAATGTGTTTTATATTTATTTGTGTTAATACGAATTTCAACATAATACAGTTTATATCGTATATGTATTAATTAATTTAAATGCATGATACAATAAAAATAACACGTTTAATTTAATTTTATCATACGAATACACATTTAATATATTTAACACATTTTTTATATTTATTTTAATTTAATATAAACATATAAATGAATATTAATTTTTTTATTTTTGAATATAAAAGTGCTTTTTTTATTATTAATATACTAAATTTATTAAGTTATAAATGATAAATAATTTATAATTATTTATTATTTTAATCGTGTTTCTATATATATTCGTGTTAATCATATCTATTAATATATATCTGTATTAATTATGTGTATTCATATATATATATATCTATATTATTTATGTTTATTCATGTCATATTTAAACAAATTAATTATACACATATTAATTATATCATGTCACATATAATACGTGTATTATACGTATTGTGTTTGCATTTAAAATTTAAATATGTTTTATAATTTGTGTTGTGTTTATATTTTAATAATTCATATCATTACAATTGTCAAACACAACATGAAACATAACACAAAAATAATCTAAATTCAAATGTAGATAAAACTATTGGTCCCAACAACATAAATGGTTCTATACAGAGATAACAATTTCAAACATATCCCAGTAATATGGTTTTACGAAAAGGATTAAAAAAAAATACATGAAAAAGACAATTTAAAATTTTAGTAAATATAATATATGAGTTTAACAAAAACAAAACTATTTTTCATTTTTTGTGTCAATATAAATTGAATCATATAATTTTCATGTAAAACACGATATAACTATGAAAATTATTACGAATATATGAATTATCAAATCTAATTCTAGATCAATACCTGTCTTGATACTCTCCATGGCAAGACAATTCCAAACTCACCGCAGGCAGGCAAACATGTAACTAGAAAAACAGAAACTCCATAGTCCCAGCCAATTTTTACAATTTTCTGATCCTATAGAGGAATCTATTAACAGCGAAACAGACATCTCAAACAACAATGATAGGAAAAAAAATCACCAGCGTTTCCAAAAGACCAATCTTTCAAGATGAACAAAGATCATATACCGACAATTTGGATCGTATATTTTTATCACTGCCAAGTATATGAACATATAAAGATCGCAAAACAGATTCATACAAGCCCCCTGTAGTCGTTTCTTTGCCGGCTACACCCAATCATTTACATCTCACTAAACCAACAGTCAAAAACATTCATAAATGAATTACATATACATCAAAATTCAAAAGAAAAGTAATATCTATCAAACAGATTATAACAACAGCACATTTTTGTTTATTAGCAAAAGGCATTTGGGATGAAAAAAAATACAGATCAATCTCCAACAACAAAAGTTTTAATTGATCAAAAATTAAATTTAAGCTACAGAAGTTACCTGTAAAACCCTTCATGGGCCAGTACAAGCATAATCTTTCTGGTGGGTAGTCGTAAACTATAAGCAGGAGGTAACATTTGAAACAATTTTACAACGTAATGGATCTTGTTAAATGCCACACTTGGGGTCCAAACTATCAAATCTTGCTTTAGCATTTCAACCGGTTGGCTCAGATGTTGTACCATTTTGACAAAAAAGAATTTGGGCAGGGAATACCTGGCTGGCATGTGATTGAAGCAATGAGATTTATTATCCAGGTGACATAACTAAGGGTAACAAAATCTACATCTTCACAATAAATGCTGCAAGAAAATTGCTTGTTCATGTAATAGCCCTAGGTTGTCACTTCATTGAGAACAACAATAGTAAGTAAAGAAGAAAATTCATAACTACAAAAGAGAGGAGAAATCCTCTTTAAATGCCAAACATCTCCGTCCTCTCTGTCTCTCTCTCCCCGGTACCACCTGAGTGTTTTACCCAATTAGTTGGTACATGCTTCCTCCAGCTCAAAAAACTGAGCCTGATACCACCGTCCCAAAAAAATTTTTGACTGATGAAAAAAAGTCACAAAAGTATCTTTAACAGGCTACTTAAGTTTCCCAAATTATATTCAGCTAACCTCTAGAGTCTAGATCACTGTTTTTCAAATTAGCAGTATTTATTATTATCTTTCAGCAAGAAGAAAATATTTTACTGAGACCACCTGCCACCTCACATCATCATTGAACAGTTTCACGAATCAGAATGAACTGACAATAATCAATATTATTCACTTTGTACTCCCCACCTAAAACCCCAACCAGAGAATTAAGCTTTCATAAACACGGGGAAGAAAGAATCAAGGAGTTTGACATGTAAATAAGAAAATTCTTCACACACCAGAATTACACACATTAAGTTGGAAGAGAAGACATCTCAAGTTCATCGTCTAATATCCCATTTGATACTTCTGGCTTTTGAAAGGAATCTCTCCGACCACGTTCCAAGGCAGTCGCCTCATATATCCCTACAAATTTATGGAGAATAATACATAAGATCTCTTGAAATCTCAAAAAAATTGCTTGTGATAAACTTGCACATGTTCATGTCAAGGGCCAACATCAACAAGAGTTTGTTTTACTGCTTTGCAATTGAATTTTTTTGCAGTATTTTTCTGAAAATTCAGTTGCCTGCTTAAAAAATACATGAGTCAAGAAAATCAAATTTTACTGCAAAAACACACAAGGAGGATAAGAGCTCATTCATGGAAAGTACTGAAATATAAGAGGGAAGGGAAGCAGAATAAGATTTCATTCTCCTCTAATATGTTTTTGAAACAGATCTAATAGGCTATTTTCCTTGTGTTGATATATTTACTCAACAAGATACAATAGAGATGGAAAGTTGCTGCTTCTGTGTGGAAAGCTTTATACTTCCAGCTTCACAGAAAACTTTTAATCAACAAAAGAAGAGGTCTAGAGTCTATGATGTAACATATACAACAAATTTGGCATGTCCAATGATTAATAAAAACAACCTTCTCTAATAAATGCTTTCCTACATGTTTAGTTTTGAATGCATCACCATTTTGATCAAAAGGGGGAAACGTACTCCCAAGGAGATACACCCATCTTTATCCATGGTTCATTCACTTCATGAAAAAGAGAAAGTTATACATACCAAAGCCCAATATCAAGGAGCAAATTACAAAGCCAGCTAGGGAAAAGTCCATTTTGTATGCAAGCTCCATGACAATTATGCATCCTCCAGCCGCCATTAAATGCCTTGGAGAAGAGAAAACCATGTGCAACCTATAAATAGATAAAGTTGTTGCAATCACATACATGTATTACATTGTATTAACTGGAAATGTTTAAAACTGAAATAATTGGAATTTATCAATGCAAAATAATACCCACCCATCTTTTTCTTTTCCAAAAATCAAAGGAAAAAAAGGATTACTTGAATTCAAATATGTGGAACATACAAGAAGAGAAAAAAGGATGCAAAAAGAATGGAGCACGAGGGTTCTAGCACATTATATATGCACAAGTCTGACAGAAAATTGGATGAAATTTGTGCCACAGGTTATTAGAAAAATTGTAAAACCCAGAGCAATGCTTTAGTTACTGTCATACTTCTCCTCCGCAATGCTGTCGATGTAGAATATCAAAATTATTCCAAAGAAAATAGTACTCAGAAAAGCCCAGGCAGAAAATGGCAGTTCCACAGTGCTATCAGAAGTTCCCTGAAGTGTTCAATTTATGCAGAGGAAACAGCAAAATTTTGTCAAACAAGCTAAGGTCCATAGAGATGAAATTAAACATGAACATTCAATTAAATTACAACAATGAGTGGAAATCATAAAATGTCTTACTATGATCAAGTCCCACATGGCCACAGGGAATAGAAAACATGTTGCAGAAGCAATGGTTATTGCATGAAGCCGCCTTTTAAGTTGATTCTAAATGCAGAGAACGACAATAATAAGAGATTATAGTTTCTCTTGATTAGTTTGCAATAATGAGGGTGTTGATGGCTACTAGCTTACATTTTCGGCTGACAAAGAGCCCATAAGATAACTACAAACACATTAATATCAATACCTTGAGAGAAAGCCGCCTTGCAATCACCCTTCTCAGAGCTGATAAGATCCCAGCCAAGATGGGAACTGTCATTTGACTCATACCCAATACATGTTCTGTCTGAACCTCAGAATCGAGGCTGTCTATGAATGGTATGTTACAGTTAAGTTTATCTCATCAAACTTGAATAAGCAAATGTCCATAGCATGAAAAAGAAGATAACTGTTAAAAGATTAAAGATAAAGACAAATAAGATGATATTAAACAGATGTATACAGCTTATGTAGAAGAGGATATAGAATGGAGAAAATGTTGCCAACGCCCAGCCTTGAGATAAGAAATAAAAAGATGCCAACATTGCGATAAGCCCACCAACCTGGTAAAACATATGAAAAGAGCAATATAAGTAGGGAAGAAAAAGCATCAATTATCAGATATTTTGTCAATTAATTATTGATGTTGAGCATATACACAATTTGATCCTAATAGCACCAGGGATTTGAATTCTAACCAATCCAGCAATAAGACCAACATGCTGATAGAAAATGACCAACTACTTCCAAAGGTAAGACAGCCCCATAATATGGTAAGGTAAAGCAACATATATTCTCTATTAATAAAAAAATGAATAGCTACAGACTATATGATGTAGGATCTTTATAAAGAGCACACTTAGACTAGATAGAGGCTATTTTAGGACTTAAAGTTTAGGTCCAAACAACAACATTAGGAAGAATAAGACCTGAAAACTTTGCTGATATGTGAACATAAACAATCAGAAAATTAGGAAGGGAAGACAAAGCGAATTTAGGTGAACTATGAAAACTGAAATCAAGGAAGACAATAACTTCAAAAAACACAATTAGGATTAGGGAATCACTCACTAGAAATGCGTCGCACATTCAACACTCAAACTTAATTAATTTCTCTCTACATAACACTACCAAACATACAAAAATCTCCTAAATATATAGGCAGTCAAGGTTTAGGCAGCTTGCTGTAGTCATGATTAAATGACAGCAAGAAGATAATGGCTTAGACCGCCCTGCTATAAATAAGATTAGAAGACAGCCAACATCTTGATAATGTCCTAGTATGATGAATAGAGCCTTTTATTAAGTGGCAGCAAACATTATAATGCTGATCAGCCAACATTCCCCTCAAGTTGTAGGGTTTTTACTTAGGTGGCAGCATATGAATGCCAGCCAGCTAAGCAAGTTCAGCTTTAGAATCTTGTCATATTATAATATTTGCATTGTTGTCCTTGCCTCTCCTCCTATAGACTTTACCAGGTTTCCATATTGAATCACTATAGTACAATGTGTTACCTTTTTCCAGACATGGCCTCTTTGACCATATAATACTGCAGATAACACTCCAAGAACAGCACCAGAATACTCTGCCAATATAGCCCTAGAGAAAAAAAAAAGGAAAATCAATTTAGCCGTGGAAACCATTTAAAACTTCATATGAATTAAAGACCGTGACAAGATAGAACATACAACTCTTTCTAATTTAGAAAAGGAGTTAAAGATGATATACAAGATAGACCACAGAATTGTTCCTAATTGAAAGAAGAAGAAGAATCCACATCCACATTTTTCCCGATTTGTTGACAAAAGCAGGTCAAAGATCACATAGGTACCAGCCACAACAGACTAGACAAGGAGGCAAGATAATTAGGCTCATCAATCTTAAGTTCAGGCTATGATACCCTTGACCGTATAGACAAGCTATCCAACAACTCCCCAGCGTTCTTGGACTGTTAACAATTTCCATCTTTTTTTTTTGGTGAAAGGGGTGGTTTTAATATTAGTAGAAGCGAATGCCCAAAGGGGCTCCAGTTCAAGAAGGCAGCAAATAAGCAACAGACCTTCCAAAAATGTATGTGTGAGAAAGAGAGAATTGCAAAATAGTCTTAAGATGTCCAATATATATGAACTTTAAGAGTTTTGCCTAAAAATTCAAAGAAATATTATAAATTGCAAAGGCCGCAACAGAAAAATAAGTTATCATAGTTCAAATTAAAACATAAATGTATTCTATTGTGTCAAAGCATCCTGCGTAAAACCAATAGCCTATAGGTGGTGACTCAAAAGTCCCAACCTAAATGTAAGGTCTAAACAGCTATCAAATCAAACAAACGTAGAATATAACACCACTCCAAGGTCCCTCTTAGGAAAGTACAATAGGGATGGGCCTATTAAGTAATCCATGGAAATGAGACAATCCCACTTAACTTATCACGTGCATGTTTGGACAATGCTCTCAACAAACTTTCATAAGGTTTGGAGTTTGAAATTTGTCAAAGTTGTACGCTTGTAACAACTAATCAAATAGGGTTCAATTAATAGAACTGTCCAAGCAAGATAAGAGTATGTTTTTTCAATTAAATTGTTTTTATATGTCATACAAAGTGTAAAAAGTTTCGAAGATAGTCAGTTCTATGCCCAATCTAACAAAACTATATGTGTTTGACATTGTAAAAACAAATAGAAATAAGATTCTCTTAAGGCACCAGAAAGCTACCTCAGTGGTCCGCATGATTTAAGGCCCTTTCCCCACAAGATGAAGTATAAAGCTGTTATTGCACCATTTATTACAGAAGGAACAACCTAAAAATTAATAGAAACTTCAAAATATGAACAGTTGAAGGAAAATGATACAAGTTACACACTCTTTCTTCCAATTGTTATTATTTTCCTAATGAAAAGAAGCAATTCTACTTAACCTGTGTATTTGAGAGTGGTCTTCCCTTCCAAGGCTTTTGCAAGAGTAAAAATATGATAGATGAGGGAACAAGACAACTGAAGATAAAAAGTACCACTGAAGCCCCTGTCTGGGTCAGGTAACGATACATGGAGTAAACTGACCATATTCTCAAGAAGTTCCCAATAATGTGAATTATCTGCAGAGGAGTGTGCCTACAAGTAAAAACAATTACCGGTAAAATCATCTAAGGACTAGCAAACTATAATGTAAAGCACGCTAAAACCATTTTATACTATAGCCATCTGGCATCTGCTTTCCTGAGAACACTGAACAGCAATGAAGTGCAACAAGATTAATGCTATGCTTGAAAAAAGTCAAGACACCAGAAAGACATATATATGTGTTTTTACAGTAACAGAGTGTCAAAAACCAAGATAACAGAAAATTATAGGTAAATGAAAAAAATGTCACCTATAGCATTTTCTCATGAATGACTCCTGCCTTTCAGTCAGTGTTCTAAAGGTTGTCATAGAGGCACAATCCTAGGGACACTGGCTTTAAATCTTCTCAAGGCCTTAAACTTAAGGTATTGTACTTATTTTTGTACCATTATTTGGTTTGACTCTTCTTCTATGAGTCAATCAATCACTTGCTTAACTTCATTGGCTAGTTTATCAGCTTCGGCATGATTAGTAAATTGTTTTGCATGAATTTCCAATTAACTATTAGGAAAAGTAGGATAACACGGATTGTTCTTTCTTTCCTCAGCTCTTGTATACATTTACCCGCATAATTTCATATCCAGCTATCAAGAATTTTAATATGGAAAACATAATATTATTGATTAATTCATAACAAATAATATAGACACGTTATTATATCACAGTGTTTCCATTGTATTTTAATATTTATATTTATAAATATATGAAAAATTTTATTTTGCTTTCTAATTCAAAAATACATTACCCAAGTTTAATACCTCAATGCATAGTGGTTTATGCTGGACCTTATGCTTTTGCCTTTTAAAACATTACCAAGCTAAGTTCTTCCATAACTACCCTAGTAGTGCTCAATACTGAAAGAGACACCTATTTACAAACACTTTATTTCTTCAAGGAAAACATCATAGAGCTTAGGCCAAATCAATGCATACATTAACTCAATAAAGCAACAAACGATATCAACCGTTAACACTGCAATATTATTAATTAAAACAAACATGTAAAATGCAAAGCTCTCAACCAGCATTGAGCCAAATCAGACAACTTGAAACCAATAAGTCGCGAGTTTATTGTTTCTTCTTTAATTATGCAAATTGATAAAATAAAATTTTCAAGGTAAAGCTAGCACACGCTAATTGCTCCTGCATATGAACACGGTTTGATTCCCAAGAAAATGCAGGAAAATGGAAATGAAAACAGAAAAGTTTATAGGAATTTCATGACACATCACTTTGGGGCAAGAAATTCAGTTGACCTAATATTAATAAGATTCAAACTTCTCGTTCCTCCACTACTTTCTTTTTCTAGGAAAACAAACAGAGAAACTAGGGTTTCCAAAAAAAGGTTCCAAATTTAAAATTAAAAACAAAAAGAAAATGAAAGATATAATTTATTTAATTACGTACCTGAAATGAGGCGATCCTCGATCCTCTGAGATTGGCTTTGGTGACATCATTTTTTTTTTTTAAAGAGGAATTTGGGATCTGAAAACGAGGCTATTTATAGCTTATTATGAGAGTACTGTAATCCGATTTAGACAGTGTAAAACAGAGATTAATCACTGATAATCAGTGTTTAGCAAGCAAAACCTAAGGCTTTGCACTGCTTTGGGCCTAAAGCTAAACAGAGAAATGTTTTCTAAACCTAAAGAATTAGAAAACATTTCTCCCCCAATGAAAAATTGACTGCGTTGGGCTGGACTGCGTTGAAGAATTGGGCTTAAACAGTATCAATGGCTTCTTATCTTACCAAGCTTTTTTTTTTTTAATTCAATAGTTCTTAAATTCTTATAGTATTAAATATTAAAATTTATATATTTAAATCATATTTTATACAAAAATTTATATCATAATTTATATAAATAAAAAATATAATATTTTATTTTATTAAATTTATATATAATTATTATTAAAATTTTAAATTTTATTATTTTCATATTTATTTTTATATTATATTTATATTCGTTTCGTATTTTAAATTATCTGATTTATTTTTTCTATTTCAACAATATTAAGGGTAAGGTAAGGTTGGATTCAACTGCACCTTGCCCAAAAATTTTGTGCAATCGGCTTTTAACACTCATTTGGATTTCAACGCAGCAGCACGTTTGAAGAATTTAAGCTGCTTTTGTCCGCTTATGGTTTTGGCACCAGTAAAAAAACGCTGGTCTTCATCGCCTTCTTTTTACATTTTTATCCTTCATTTTATATGTAGTTTAATTTTTCCATTTTTTCTATTTTGTATTTAAAAATTACAAAATAATTTTATTAATTTATTATAATAAATAAATTTTATTATTATATTATGAATTAATAAATAAAAAATGTATTATTATATAATAAACTATTATTTTTATTAATTTTTAATTATTTATTAAGAAAATTATTATTTGTCAAAAAAATAATTTAATAATTTTTAATAATTTATTACTTTTAAAAATATTAAATAATTTAAAAATTTTATTATATATAAATTTTAATATAATATTCTTAATGATCAATTCTCTTTTTATCACAATTTACTTTATCATCATTGTTGTTTTTTATCCAAATGTATATTTTTACTATTAATTTTAAACTTATTATTAGAGTAATTAATTTTCATTCTATCATTATTTTCAATCTTATTGGAGTCAATTTCATTGCTTATCTAAATAAAATTTTAATTTGAATAATTCTAATTATCTTTTTGATAGTTAACCACTTGCTTCTTAAATTTTTTTGACATTGATCATATAACTTAAAATTTTTTTGGAATTATTTTAAAATTTTATTACTATTACACTATTCTAGTGTATAATTCTTAATATATATGTTTTTTCTCACTCTTATTTTAAAAGAATAAAATTATAAATAAAAACATACATGAATGTATTCATAACACATTTATGTACTAGATTTTGTGTCATATGTGTTGCATGTGATTTTAACAGTTAATTGCATTGATATGTAAATATTAAGGATTTTAAAATTTATTATTTATATAAAATTATTTTTCGAATTATTATTTATATAAAATCATTATAATTAAAAAGGTACATAAACATTAATTTAATCTTCATAATAAATAATAAAAATTATAAATTAAATTTTAATTAATACAAATAAAAATGGATAAAATCAAAATTTTATAAGAAATTATTTGATACAAATAATAATAAAATTTTTTAATTCTATAAAAAGGGTTAAGATGATAACATATATCCTATGTTTTAAATTAATTTTTTTATTTTAAAAAAGTTACGCTAAGAGACATATGTAACAATCTTAATTCTATTTTTGAAATTAAAAAAATGTTATTATCAATATATTTAATAATTTCTCAAATTTTAAACAATAAATATTGAACCATTAAATATAAAAACTTATAAAATTGTTGTGCGATACATGGACTTTCTACTGGATGAAAACACCTATAATCTATGGAACATAAGTGGTAAAAATTTTAAGTTTGAAAATAAGTTTTTTTTTTTTAATTTTTTTCTTTCTATTAATTTTTTTAGAAAAGAAAAAAAGAATTTACCAGGCAGAGCATAAAGAAGTAAATTAACCACTGCCTATGTTGTTAACAAAATAATAATGCAGAAGCAATTTTTTAGGTTCTTGCATGGAAACAATTTTAATGTAAATAAAATGGGGTATCCAAGATCAAATCAAAGGTAAAGTAAGATTTGTAGTAGATATAACAGATTTGATAGAATATTTTTTTTGCCTTCCAGTTTTTCACTTTAAAGCCATTGAAAAAATTAATATATTTTTAAATTATAATTGTAAAATATAAATAATTGATTTATTAATAGAGTTTTAAAAAAAATTATCCAAAAAATAAGTACAACAATTTATCAGTGTAATCAACTACATTAGTGCAAAAGAGCTATTAAGCCGTTCACACCACACAGCTTCTAGGCTTTGCAACATCCAAGAGATCTTGTAACAATCTACTTAAGACAGAAAGAGGAGAAAATAACATAACAACATCAAAATCACCATCATTAGCATAATTTGCTAGGAAATCTGGAAAAAAATTGGCTCTTCTGTAGATGTAAACTATAGAGCAATTCAAATCAATGTGAAGCTGACGTTGGCAAGACTGAATAATCTGATAGAGTGCATAATTATCATGAAGTGGTTGTATAATTTTTTGAACAGCCGATAAAGAATCATATTTCACGAAAATTTTTCGGCAACCATGGTTCATGAAAGTAAAGATAGCATAAATTTAGCCTTTATGACAGGACCCCATCCCAGTCTCCTTGTAAATCCAAACATTCAGTAACCCCTACTTTCCCTACATAAACCACCTACAGCTAATTCACCAAGATTAGATTTAGCTGCTGCATCAACATTCAACTTGACAAAAGAATCAGGACATTGCCAAGCAATATAACTCACGGAAGAACAGCCATTTAATACTTTTGTACTTCAGATCACTTTCACACAAACGATTATAATTATAGACTTTAACCGATCATCGCGATCATGAATTTGTTAAAATTTTATATAATTTATTATAAAATATAATAATTATAATTATAATAATAAAATTTTTATTTTTTTAAAAATAATTTATAATATTTCATGTCTTTTATTTACTTGATAAAAAAAATATTTATAATATTTTTGATATTATAATAAAGCAATATAAAGTTAATAATAAAATTTCCTTGATCATAAACATGTTTTGAACATCTAACATGAAATTATAAAAACCAATATGTTCAATTACAATTAAAAAATTTCTCTCTAAATTTTTTTTAAAAAATTAATTGCCTCTAAAACAATAAAAATTTTCAATCCACTTTCCCAAATCAAAATTTTCCACTAAAACAAAAAAATCCTAACCCCTTCCTTGGCCCAACAAGACCTCCACCCAATTCCCAACCCACCCAATACCCTTAATCCACACACATACTTCACCCATGTGTCACTTTTACCTTTATCCCATCGTCCCCTAGCCCATCAGCCCTTAAGTCCACTCTACCTCTCTTTTTTCTTCTCAACTCTTTATTTCTTTTTCTTTGTATGATCTCTTTATTTCTCTTTCTTTATATGGTCTCTCTCGTCATTTCTTAAACTCAAATACATAAATCTCTGACACAAGTAAGAAGCTCTCGTATTCCTCTTATCTCATCCTCTCTTAATTGGCAATTTAACCCAAGCTCAGGGACTAGCTTATAATAAAGATTGAAAGTATTTCAGAATATCATCTCTTTAAAGATTGAGAGTTTTAAATTTAAAGATAAATATCAACTTTGACATATCGAGTATACTTGGTCTTATGAAAAATTTCAAGTGAACTAATTAATCTAATTAAATCTAATAAAATTGCCAAGTAAATTAAACCTAACTCAACTACAAATTATGGAAATTAAAGCCTTAAATGGAAAGTTACGAAAAATGGTAGTTCTAAAAATAAAAAAGTTACTAAAAATAGAAATTACAAAATCGTAAATTAAACTAAACAAAGTTAAAGGCATAAAATAAAATTGCAATTAAAAAGAGAAGGGATAAAAATAAAAACCTGAAAGACAACAATTAAAATAGAAAATTAAACCTAACAAAATATAAAAAGGAAAGTTAGCATTTTTAATTTGAAAAATTAACTTAATTAAAATCCTAACCTAGCCCAAAATGCATAAAATGCAAAGAACAAAATTCAAAAATGAAAATGACATGGGAATGCATGAAATAATGTCCTAAAATAAGAATTTGGAGACTACCAAAAATCTAAGCTAAAATCCTAATGCAAAGCCATCAATTTTCATTGAAGCATTTTACCAAACACTTAGTATACTATATGCAAATTTCTAATTTAATCAACCTAAACTCTAAGGAATGTGACTAGAACTAAATCTAAGCTAATCTAAATAAAAATGACATGGAAAAATGTAAAAAAAAAACACATAAAATAAATAAAAATGCTCAACAACTTAATTAAAGCTAAAATGTAAGCCTACTTTACTGAATGAAAATGATATAAATCTATATGGTATTGTAAAAACTAATTGAACTTCACAAAAATGGACTTAAAAATGAATTAAAATGTTGCATGAAAGTAGGTTTGAAAACTAAACAAAAATGTAAAAATTTAAAGTGCAAAATTGAATAAAAAAATGCACACTACATGTAACTTATGGCCTCAAATGCTTTGCAAATTTGACCCTTTTTAAGGAATTTGTAAAAGCTATTTTTTTTAACTTAAAATAGACTTAAAAATGAATGAAAAAGATGCATGTGACCTTTCTCTAAAACAGGACACAAAATGCAAGAAATTAAATGCAAACTAAAATACTAGAATGCATGGACACTATGACCTATTAACTAAAATGCTTGGCAAATGTAATCCTAACTAAAGAATTTGTAAAAACTATTTTAGTACCTTAAAATTGACAGGAAAACAAACAAAAAAAGTGTAGGTAAACATGTCCTAAAACTAACCTAAACATGCAAAAAAATTTAATGCAAATCAAAGCTAGTAAATGCCACCAAAATGAACCTATGAACAAAAATATTGCTATGGAATTGACCAATGACCTAATAG